TGGAATATGTGACACAGATTTTTGAGGATGTGGTTCAAAAAATATGTGGAAATGAAAAGATTGGTGCAAGATAGGCAAAAATGGAGGACCACATCAAACCAGTCGAAAGACTGATGACAAACAAACAAACAATTGAACATAAAAAAGTCTCTCAGATATCACGCAGAAATTCAAGGAAGATTGCTGCCTTCTGGGTTATTGCACCATGTAGTCTGTTAGATGTCTACCAACGTTTCAGAGGTCCATGCTGCCTCCATCATCAGGAACCTACACGGTGCAACAACCCAGAAGACAGCAATCTTCAGACTCATTGCCATGAAAACCTCAAATCCTACATTGAAATTCCAAGGACTACAGCTTCTGGAAATAAAGGGCAGTATTTCAAACTATGGTAAACATGGATAAGGAACAGTACATCAATTGAATACCTCCTCTTAAAAAAAGGTTTTGTTATTTTAAATACTCTAGAGCAGCGGATCCATAAGCTTATTCAGTTAATTTGGGATAAGGAAGAGATGCCATAACAATGGAAGGAATCCATAATTATTCCTATTCATAAGAAGGAGGACAAGACTGAGTGTGGTAATTACCGAGGAATTTCGCTGCTATCAACCTCATACAAAACTCTATCAAACATTCTTTGGCAAGATTAACCCCATATGCGAATGAAAGTATTGGGGATCATCAGTGTGGGTTCCGACAAAACAGATCAACGATTTATCAGATATTTTGCATTCGTCAGATACTAGAGAAAAAATGGGAGTTCAGTGGGACCGCACATCAATTATTTATAGGTTTCAAAAAAGCCTATGACTCTGGGAAGACAGAAGTGCTGTATAATATTCTTCTTGAATTTAGTGTACAAAAGAAGCTAGTGAGTCTAATAAAAATGTGCTTAAATGAAACCTGTAGCAAAATTCGAGTAGGTAAATATGTATCTGAGACATTCCTCATCAAGAACGGTCTAAAACAAGGAGATGCTTTGTCTCCCTTGCTCTTTAACTTTGCGCTAGAATACGCCATCAGGAAAGTCCAAGATAGGCAGGAGGGTTTGCAATTGAATGGGACACATCAGCTATTGGCATATGCTGATGATATTAATTTATTGGGGGACGATATAAATACAATAAAGAGGAACGCAGAAGGTTTACTAGAGGCTGGTAGACAAGTGGGGCTGGAAGTAAATTCAGAAAAAACTAAGTACATGTTAGTATCTCGTCATCAGAAGACAGGCGGGCAAAATTATCTTAGGGTAGCTAATAAATCCTTTGAAAGGGTTACAAAGTCCAAATATTTGGGAACAACAATAACAAATCAAAATGATACTTGTGAGGAAGTTAGGAGGAGACTAAATTCCGGAAATGCTTGCTACTTCTCAGTCCAAAATATTTTGTCTTCCCGTCTGATTTCTAAGAACCTGAAAATTAAAGTATACAAAACAATAATCTTGCCTGTTGTTTTGTATGGGTGCGAAACATGGTCTCTCACTCAGAGGGAGGAACACAGATTGCAGGTGTTTGAGAATCGGGTGTTGAGGAGATTGGAGATAGCTGTCATCATATTTATGTTCTTTTTGTTGGTCTTGCTTAGTTGAAGCATTTGTAGGTCCATCTTGTTTTATGTTTTTCTTTTTCTTAAAATTTCTCATTTTGATTCAATGATCTATTATACGGTTTCAAGAAAACAAAAATGGCAGATACAGTATTTATTGATACTTAGTTTTTATATTACTAAGATTGATAAATAATCAACACCTTTCTGCTCCCAGCACAAACTTTCTGAAAACTTGCAGTTCTCAACCTTGGTATGCATACCACTGGTGGTACGCAAGCTAATGTTGAGTGGTACGTAAATTAAGTAAGAAAACCAAAAGTTAATATTAACATAAATAACAGTTGTCCCAGAACGCATTTGGTTAGTAGTACATTTAATGTGTTGAATTAGAATTGGTTGTATGCCAGTAAAAAAGGTTGAGAACCCGTGCTCTATAGCATTAGCATAGCTGTAATGGACATGGGGAAGGAGGCAATCAGAACAAAGGGCTACAAATTTCTACTGGATGCTTTCCAGTTTGTTGGCATCAGTAATTGTAATAGAATTCCAAATAACTGAGGTGTATTCGAGCTTTGATCAGCTGAGGTAAAACATAACATATATAGGTAGTCAAGACAAGGGAATGAAAAGTTTAAGTGTGAGCAACACCCAACAACTTACTACACTGAAAAAAACATAGTCGACATAGTTTGGAATCGAAGTTTAGAAATAATAAATATTCCCACATCTTTAACAGAGTCAGTATGTGTTACAGAGGACTGACAAAGTTTAGATCATAGATCAATGTATTAGTTTTTGTCTTTTTTGAGAAGGAAATTATTCTGATTTTACTAATACTGAGTTTGATGAATAATGTAATCAGCTGTTTATCATGAATTTGCTTCAGAACCACTTCAAGACATGTTAATTTATGCTTACAAAGCTACTAAACATATTGCAACAAAGCAAGTCTAGTAAAATTTTTAAAATCCCAAGAGTAGGAAACAGTGACTTACCATGGAAACTGAAGCTGATGCTTATGTCTAAGGAGGAGTTGAGGTTGTCATGGCAGTCAACATGAAGATAGCTATTTTCTGGGTTGTAGCACTGTGTAGTCTGGCAGACATCAACCAATGACCTCAACCCAGAAGACAGCCACCTTGAGGCTTTTGTCTGTTTGTACTGTTCAATGTTACTTCTTTCTAATCATTTATTTTATAGTTTTATAATTATGATCACTATTTTATAATTCCTTTATTTTTGTATGTAGATTAATTAAAACTGTCAGAAATTAAGAATAACTTTTAATGATAGTTTTTGTTTATAACACTCCACTATGTTTAATGTAAGCTGAAAAAGCATAAGCACTATTTTAACATAAATCAGTACTAATAAACAACATACTGTGGCCGCGCGTTCTGAGTTCGAGTCCTGGTGAGGTGCAAATGAATATGGTTTTGAAATAAATAATGAAATTTTACATGTTTCACTTGTACAGCAAATGCTTGCTTTCTAGGCCAGTAGTTAAAATGTTGGAAGGTGGTCTGTATTTCAGTGCAGTATGCTAAGCTCACACTTAAGTTGAATATTTTTGCGTGTGAGGGTGCAAGGGTGGAAATAGACGACAATTCAAATTCTGAATTACTATGCGGGCAACCTCTGTATGACAGTGAAACCTATGGAACAGGGGAACCGCAGGGACCACATGTATCGGCACACATAGAAATCCCAAACCGAGAGCCGATGGCATCTTCGGCCGGGGGAGAGCATGCCGTAGTAAGGGGAATAGTCACCAAAAGTGGAAAGAACGATGATAACAAAATACAAAAAACACAAGCACACTTGCTAGCTACAATTTGGGATGCTTTGCTAGAAGATAGAAAGGAGAGGGAGAGAATCAGGTAGGAATATAGTGAGAAGATGGAGAGAATCAGACAGGAAGATAGAAAGGAGATGGAGAGAATCAGGCAGGAGGACAGAGATAGGAATGAGAGTATTGTAAATTGTATAGAATCAATTGCACATATATTATCCAGAGAAATGGTGAGTCTTAGAGAAGGTACCCAACATGAAATTAAACTTGTGAACGAGAAAGTTGAGCAAATGTTTGTCAGTGTGAATGAGCAGATGTGATAGAGCATGGCGGAAACCAGGCGAAATAATGAACAAATAAACAAAAAAATAGTTGAGCACAGGCAAGATGTAGACAGTGAGTTAGAAACTTTTCGGCAGGAATTGCAAAATTTTAGAAAGGAGGTGGAAATTATCCCTGTCACTGCAAGTGAGGACGAGGCTAAATTACGTAGACTGTGAGATCCTGTATATGCTGCAGAGAAGGATAGTCAGTCCAAGATAGAGGAAGTAACGTCTAGATTAGGCAACTGGAGGAGAAATTATCAGGTGCTCGTAGACGTTTGGACCAGCCAACTACCAGTGAGAAAGACAGACCCTCTAGTGACAATTTAGATGGTTTAGTTCTGGGGACCTCAACCCAATCAGTAACACCTGTTTGCCGCCATGAATCCGAACATCTGCAGAGTGAACGCGAAGTTAAAATAAGTACAAATCTGCCAGTGTTGTCGGATGGGCCTGTTGATTGTAGCAGCGACAACACAACTATTATGCAGGGGTTTGTTAAGCAAGGCCCGTCGCAGTGTCATGGTGCGCACTTGTTAGATCTTGTGCTTCCAACCTACAGCGACCATTCTAAACAGAATATCGTGCAGTATTTGGGCGAGCTAGACGAATATTTCCATTTGAGGGTGGTGCCAGATTCGGTTCGGCTCCCGATTGCTTTTAAATCAGTAACGGATGGCTATGCTAAGCAGTGGTGCACGGCAATATGCATCGATTTGAAGAGTTATGAGCAGTCAAGGTCGCCATAACCCAACTGTTGTGGAATCAGCAGATACAAGCGACCGCGCGATGTTCGTTGTACCAGGACAAATTCGACAAGAACAAGGAAAGCATGTCGGAATACTTTTTGAGATATACCTTATTAGCAAAGAATCTATCACCGGCATTGTCCGAGGCATATTTAATAGAAGCGTTGACAGCCCATTATCCCGTGTATGTTCAAAGATCGTTTTTGTCAGCGAGCGTGAGAACAGTACAGGAGGCGCTGAACCTGTTAAATAAGTTGCAGGCGATGGAGTCAAACTGAACCGGGTAGGGTTATGAACCCAGGACCATCACACAGCGCCACACCTGGCGGTAATCAGAACCCTTACGACAGAGGGAGATATAATAACCACCGTCAACTGAGATCTCTCGGTTTTTGGGAAAACGCGAGTAATCATCAGGGCGGCAGGTACCAGTCTTATACGCCGGGCAGGCAAGAGGGACAATACCATAGCGACGTACCAGGCCCCGGGCATGAATCGACTGGGCGAAATAATGCAGACCAAGGGTGTCTGAATCCTGGAGCAGGTCCGTATATACCAAGTAGAGAATTGACGAACACAAACCCCAACGTTGCCAGTTTCAATGACAGAACACCAGAAAACCCAAACAGGGCGTGTTTAAGGGGCGCCGCCTGTCCTATACAGAAGTGTCTTGTGGAACTGAAAACTGTTGCAAGATGATGTCGGTTGTCGATGCAAACAACTGATAACTGCATCACATGGTGGAATAAATGGCTGGGAGTGATTACTAATAGGCACGAGTAGCTGGTAAGCTGTGTGTGTGCATTACAGACAAAGGCAACAAAGGATTAAAATGAGTTGCTGTAATAAAGGCAACAAGAAGTTGATAAAGGAATTAGGTTGTTTAAGTGCATATACTGCATATACTTAACATGTAACTGTTAGTGTAGGTCAATTGGAGAAATTGAGTAATGTGACAATTACCTAAAATTTATAATTGAACTAAATATGAGAGGAAATTTGACAAATTATTTGAATGATAAAAGTTTCTTTGTAATAACACTGAGGGAGTGGAAATGACAAAGTAATTAATTTGTTATGTAGACTAGTTATATCTTTTAGTTTTGATGTTGTGGACTTAAATGTTAAATGTTGGTAATTGCAGAAGGGATGTATGCAATCTGTATTAGTTGAGGATGTTGTGACTTGTCATAGACGTGAGCTGAGGTAACATATAGAGTTGAAATGTAATTGTAACAATAAACTGTAGTGAACGCGATGCCACCGGCCAGGTAAGGCGGTGTCGGCCAGTGTATGATTTGCCAACCTGCCCGACACATCTTAGGGGGAGAATGTGTGACCGCGCGTTCTGGGTTCGAGTCCCGGCGAGGTGAAAATGAATATGGTTTTGAAATAAATAATGAAATTTTACATGTTTCACTTGTACAGCAAATGCTTGCTTTCTAGGCCAGTAGTTAAAATGTTGGAAGGTGCGCTGTATTTCAGTGCAGTATGCTAAGCTCACACTTAAGTTGAGTATTTAAACCATCAAAACTGTAAAGGCATGAATTATGACGCTAGGGTGGTAGCCATGATTCTTGAAAGGCCAGCTGGAAGCTATAATTGGTGTCCTGTTGTTTGGAAAGTTTGTTGACAATATAGTAGCGTGAGTTATGGACATGCAGAGGTTTCAAATGTTCGACGTGGAGTAGGGCTGAGCCAACAAATCAGAGCATTGTTTCATTGCTAGCTAAGCAAACCAGTTGTTTTTGTTAAAAAAACAAAACAAGAGGGAAGTCTGGCGACACAGATACAGAGGGGACACACTCTCTTCTGGAATTCAGACGAAGAAACATCCTGAATTGTTTTGTAGTTCTATTCGGTTAAGTGGCTGTTAATCGCAAAAGAAATAAATTGTGCTTTGTAAAACTACAAACTTCATTCTCAAAACCATTACCGAAACCTTCCTCACTGGCATTCAGCTTATACCCCTCCATGTAATATTCCCTGAAGAAAAACTCCATGCTCCCCTGAGCAAAAATTCCCAGAACATAAACATCAACATCATCGAAAGGGCGGCGACCAAGGTGGGCTACTCCAAGTGACGGAGTAAACAAAGGGACGGTTACAATACATTTTGATCCCCCTATGTCTAATTCCAGACATAGGCACAGTGAGTCACTAGGATGTTCATATTCCTTGACCATACATTAAATTAGAAAGAAATTGCCAGAACAACTGAGCTAGATGATAAAAATTCTTCCCTTGCGAGGAACTACTTTCAATACGTTCAATGAATTGGACTTTGATGAGTGTCTAAGTTAAACCAAAGTTCTCCTAACAAAGGGTAGTCCACAGTTTCAAAATTACGGAAAAACGTCAGAGGCCTTGCCGAATCTTATGACTTATAAAGAGTGAGGTATGAAGTAACCAAGGAACAGGTGAGACCTGACAACTTCACTGGTTTTAGGATGCAGTGTAGAATCATACAAAAGTTCAGAAATACAGAGTAAGGTAATGGTAATATGACAGTCATTGTGAATAACAAATTTAATTAAAATTAAGATTATAAATTGATTTACTGAAATAATGTAATGGATTTTTCTGAAGGGTTTATTTATGCCTCCATCCCCAAAAGGAATAAAAATAAAAAGCCTGACTTTTACCTATAAACACAGTTTCCTCCTCTTCACACACATCTTGTGTAGCCAACATGCAGTTTTTGCCACATGAAGAGTGTACCACTGGAAACACTGTTGGTACAGCATCTTCTATTAATCTTCTACTAGATGATGTTGTGAATTGCTCTTCAATGAAGTGATCAGAACACACTGCAAGGCTCAACTCCATATTCTCTAGGAGATCTTCACGTTTGCAAACAGTAAGCCACTGACTTCGCCTGTAGAAGAAATCAAGAAATAAGATATCAATATCTTACAACTTCCAATTTTAAAAAAATATGTAGGTACTACATAATTAACTAGATAGAGATGAGAGTTCAGCTTAATGCCCTAACCACTTTCATCCTGGGGAAGGAGTTCCTTTTACCCATTAGATACAAGAGTGGAAGTGTGGTTCAGCCTCAGAGACAGTCTGAATGTGGTGATCGAGGAAAAAATTACTGCCCTGCCAGGAATTAAACCCTAACCATACAGCCAACACTATACTATAATACAGAGGCCGGATAACTAGATGGGGTCATTAGTTAATTTAATATGACACATTAAAAGAAAAGTATTCAATTAGGTAACAATTACATAACTATGGATAGACAAACTCACATGTATGTGCAAAATAATACAAGGTTAAATATACTGTGGCACAGAAATGTGGCATATTTAAACAGCCATTATCTTATTCACAAGAAAATCAATCAAGAAAAACAAGAGTGGCTTGGACGCAATAAGAAATTAAGGAAATCATGTGGTGTTACATGTACTGTAAAACACTCTCTTCAGATGACTATAAGAATGTGTATGAGCTATGGAAGAAAATAAATCCAAACACTAGAATGAATATAGATGTGAAGAAACTTATAAACCAAAGAAATTATATTGTGAAGAACAAAAAAGTAACTGATCTGGAAATGGAAGAAATGAAGCAGGAGATGAAATTAATTCAAGAAGGTCATTTAAACACAAAATGTGAGGACCAATTAAAACAAGCACATGACATATTCCTGAATAGGCCCAAGAAAAACTAGAACAAGTACCCCAAGATGAAATGGCTTCTCCACAAGAAACAAAGCCAAATGAGAAATTAAAAAATAAAATTTAAATTATGTGGCATCAGATCTCTCAGGCATAAACTTAAAAAAAAACTAGAGGAACCCCAAAACATGTTCAAAATAAATCTTAAATTAAGAAGGCAAATGCAGTTCTCACAGAAGTACTATGAGAAACAGATATGAGCTTAACTGAACTGATCCATCTCATTTATGCAACAGCAAAAGTAATAACAGAAGTTTTAAATGGAACAACAAAGTGCATGCCAGAAAAACAACCCCAATCAATACCACCATGGATGGGAAGAATACAAAGTACTATTGATGCCATTATGAAAGATTTATCAGCTCTGATGGAAATTAAGAGAGAAAACGAAAAATTGGAATATTAAAAAGAAATGCATGGTTCAGAAATATGAAATAGAAAGTGAAGAACACTTGTACCAAATAACTGAAGAGCATAAACAAAAGGCGTCAGCAAAGTCACAACATATCAGGAGATATAAAGAAGACAAACCTAATGTCTATTTAGAAATGATTGCAAGAAATTCTACAGATCTTTGAGATAGAAGAAGATAAATATGAAATCCACGCCTAACAAAGGGAATACTGAAAGTTTTTTAAAGAAATATATGAAACAAATGTCAAACATAATGAAGAAGCCTCATGGATAGAAAATCATGTTTACCAAAACCAGAGAATAGAATGGGTACCAATAACACAGCAGGAGGTATCAGCACTTCTTAGAAAAATTCTGAAGTGGAAGGCCCCAGGAGCAGACCAGACATAAAATTTCTGGATGAAGAACCTCATTGTGACACATCAACATTTGCCTCCATGGTGTGATGATCAACCAGATGAGTACATTTACCTAGACTTAACAACAGTAGAGTTCTAACTAATTAACAACCTTACCTTGTGCTTTTACTTACTTATCTTTTAAAATTGGCAAAGTGAAGAACATTCTTTCAGGACATGTCATTTTATTATTGGCACAGCCAGGTACAATGCAGTTCAATGGAGGTGTGCCACAACTCATGTCATTCTTGGAAAATCCAAATCCCAGGCTTGGGTTCAAACCTGAATCAATTATACAACATATAAATTTGAATGGAGAATAAAATATACATGTGGTTGGTAAGAGCACTAGCTAGTCTAAGTTTAAGGGCTCAAAGATACAAGGCTGAATAATGGATATCACTTACTCTTTCAGACACCACATCCACTTAATAACATAAGAAAACAGAAATATGAAGACAAATTCAATGGTAATATGCATATATTATAACTGCAGGCAATAATAAAATGTCATTGTTCTTATTAAAAATATCAAAACTCAGCACCCTGACTACTGAGAAGGACATTCACTTTGACACTGGCTGAATAATGTGTTCTAAGATGTTTCAAAATTCAAGAAATGAACAAGAACTTTTCAGTTGAACTTGCAACTACTTTTCTTTACATGTTTCCATGTAAAAACAAATGCTAGATGATAATTAATAATTATGCAACTTCGCGTTCTATTCATAACTTCTGATCAGGAAATGCACTTATAGAATGTGAACAAGGCAGCTAGAAAAGAAAACTTATAGAAGCTTTCTGTTTGACAGAGATAACTAATCAAGATAGATACGTACAATGAACAAAAACATTCTGTGTATTAGAAGTTACAAATCTGGCAGAGCTTTGAGGTTATATATAACAATTTCAGAAATCTATATTAAAGGGAATTAGATGACAAAACACACAATCATTTATTTGTAACTCCCATTATCCTGACCAAATAGACAGACATTTCTTTTTATAACAAACATGATACAAAATGAAAATCTGTTAAAAATATTGATAACAAATGACTTTTTAAACTCTCCAATAATCTAATTTGTATAATTTATAGCAATATTTTGGACTCTGAATTTATTAAAAAATCTCAATGGGCGGATGTCTCACTATTACTGAGAATATAGATGAAATATACATATAATTTATCTTTGTTCATGGTGCTTACACATTTTGAATCTCTGGGTTCTAGTACTGACAGCAGGTTCACTAATAATGAAGTACCATACCTAGGTACCTGATTTTATGTTCACAATATAAATAACCTCTATTTCTAAATATCAGCATAGCAGTTTAAAGCTTAAAGACAAAACTTCAGCACAAAAATATGTAGTAGTAATCCACAGCTTGGATAAGTATGTCTGCAAGTATATAAAATGGCACTGAAAAGGGACAATAAAGAACGGTTGTGTATGAAGATGGATTACTCAAAAATGTCTGAGTTTACACATACTCCTTATCAGCATAATTAAAATAGCATACAATGCAATCTCCAATTGCAGCTAAAAGCAAAATACTGTATTATCTTAATTTTATGATGCACTTTTTTTACATTTTCAAAATTTCTGAAATTGGGTATGTCTTACACTTGATGGCATCTAAGAATCAATACAGCATCCTTTTTCCCGAAGCCCTATTAATAAATCAAAGGTGCATCTTACAACTCTTGGCAACTTAAAAATTCAGTGATTATGATAATTCTCAACTTAAATTCTATAACCAACAATTTTTCAACCAGTTGGTCACAAAATCCTGTAAAATGGTGGACTGGAAAACTGAATGTATTCATGTAAAGTGCTCTGGAGGTTCATATTGTATCTTAAAATTTACATAACCTTTTCATACTTATTTCAAATGAAAGGGAATTTCTTTTTTAAATAATTGGAAAAATTGTTCTTAAAATACTCCTTTTTGTGCACTGACCTATTCACTTTCTGAATTTTACATATATCTGTTGGATGTAAATCTGGTGAAATAATAAGAAAATAACTTATGTTGACTGTGACTGAGCAGCCAAGTTGTCATTTGTTTACAACTGAAAAAGCAAATATTATACATACTATATATAAATGCTTACAAGTGCATTATTGCACAGATCTACTAAGCATGCCTTTTCAGAATCAGAGCATGTTCACTTTGAAATAACTTTTAATATATTGAATTAAAATACAACAAAATATAAACAAAATATAAATTTGTTATGGCACTGTCTGTCAGCCTGATTTACTTCACGCAAAACTGAAAATCTGTGGCCATCTTACTCAGCAAACTTTTTCCAAATATTTCAGTTATATAAATTTATAAAGTCAAGACTTTCTGAGAATAACCAATGAGTTAACAGATGAAGGGGTACCATTTAATTTTTACTCACTGTGCACAGTGGCTTATGAGCAATACAGCTAGCTGTGTGTCACACCAGGATACTACTAAACCATTAACCTTTATCTTACTAGCGTTCCCTGTCTGGGACGTAAGTTGTGTACTCAACCCCACGAACGGTCCTTGTGCGGAACGTGAATACTTGCAACATTGTAAGAAGACTTGGCTATGCCTTTTGGCCTATTTTAGAGGCTGCAAACATTGATTCACTTTCTCTAGGGCTTTGACAAGTTCTGCCTGAGCTGTCAACCTGGGAACTATAACCATGAACAGCAGTAAACATTGTTATTGTCAAGTGGGTTTCAGCTTTGGTTTCAGACCCCCTATTCAAAGCTACTTACATTTTTCGGCATGATGGGTGATTTAGAAACTCATAGATATATTGTATATATTTAGGCAATTAAGATATTAACTGCATTTTTTAAAAAACTCTATGTATTCTCTGTTCTAATCGAATAAATATGGCTTTTATTTCGTCGATTTATCATGTTTACTTTAGATAATATTAAAGTTTTCTGTAGAGTGTGCACAAAAGTTTAGGAACCTGCAAAAAATCTTCATAGGGCTGCTACCACTTTGCCATTTAAATCCCCGTCATTTAAAGGTTAACTACAGTTAAGTCTGGTGATAGGTCTATAGAAACAAGCATTGAATCCCATAGTCCCACACTATAAAGGTTAAACATCCACTGTGGCCAACAGAGTTGGTATCAGAACACAAAATATGCTATGATAATAATTTGTTTATGAATACACAAACTAATTTCTTTTACATTATTGCAAAAGCAGACATGGAACTGTGACTAAACATTCCACAGTGTAGCACATTATTTTTTAGAATTAAGACAGGATATAAACTAAATTTAATTTTTATGAATACATCATCTGGGTTCAGCCTGAGTTGTTTGTAAAGGCATTTTATTGTCTAGATACTTGTTTCATTGGACTTCAGCTGAAGTAAACATTAGTAAAATTTGCATTTTTCAAACTAACCACTTGATATATAATCCACCACTTTCTGATCATCTGTGACTTTCAGCCCATTGTTGTTGAGCTGATTTAAATCCAAATGTATTCCAACTTCATCTTGGATTCTGTTCTTCAAATCCTGAATGGTGTCTTCTGGATAGATGCTTACAGTAATGGATTCTCCAGAAGAGTTTTTCAGAACTACTTTCATAACACTTGTAGCCTTGTCCATACTTCACCTATGAAATGCAAGAGTGAAAACACATTAATACAGGTAGCCCTCGATTTGCGCCGATTCAGAATAATGCCGATTTTGAAATCAGCAAGTCAAAAAGTGAAAATTGTTTTTACTATTATTTACAACGTTTTGCAATGTATCTCGTACTGATTCTTATAATAAATCGTAATTCTTACATCGCTGATTTTGAATAAAAATTATAAAAACAGTCATCTCTGCAATTACGTATGTTTCGTTAACGCGAATTTGCTCCAATGAGATCGATGAATTGGTAAAAGCTGTTTCTGAAATGCAAACTTTTGCATATGCGAGTTTGCTCTTATGCAATTTCATTCCTGGCGCTTCAAACTTTCAAAGGACTAATTTAATCTCTGCGGAGGTATCGGGGTTATTTTTACTACGCGATTTTCTATAGGTCGGCGTCTTACATGAATGCAACTATCGCATAACAGCAGAGATGACTGTACACAACAATCACATGAAAGAATCGCAGTCAATCGCGGGGACCAACGAATTGCCGATTGTAATCTTATAAAATATATTTTTTAAATTCCTTTTATTTTATTTACGTTATTCCAGAGCTTTAAATGTAATGCCATTATATTACTCGTCAATGTTTGGGTGCTTGGAACGCATGTCATTGACTTCCCTTTGATATACATTATAAAAGAGTTTCAATTTACGTCGATTCTGTTTAGGCTGGTTCGTCCAGGAACTCTGTAATACAAATTATAACCAGTGCTGAAATAATAGTTGAGTTCAACATTCTATCTACCATGTACATATGATCCAGTATCTAATAATTCTACATTTAGCTTATATTTAACCCAATAAACATGTTAGATGATACTATACAAATTACCTAGCATAGTTAAAATTTGTATTCTGTTTATGTGAATTTCACAGTGTGCACCATCTAGATTTGACTATGTGTTAGTAATTTAAGGATGTAACAGACATGGACAGATTTCTGGACATTAGTTATTAATTATGACATATTAACTATACACAGATTAAATTCAGGGAATGCTCCTATCATTCAGTCTAAAATATTTTGTCCTCCAATCTTGTAACAAAAAACTAAAGATTAAAATATACAAAAGTGTAATTTTGCCAGTTATGTTGTATGGGTGCTGACTTCATCTGTCACCTTGAGGGAGGAACATTGAGGTTCTTTGAGAACAGTGTTGGGGAGGATATTTTAATCTAAAAGGGAGGAAGATGGATCATGGAGAAAATTGCATAATGATGAGCTTCACAGTCTGTACTCCTCACCTGATACTGTTAGGGTGATTAAATTGAGTAGGATGAGCTAGGCATTCATGGAGGAGGGAAGCGGTGCTTACAAGGTACTGGTTGGGAGGCCTGAAAGGTGGAGACCATTGGGAAGACCCAGGAATAGTTGGGAGGATAACATTAAGATGGACCTTAGGGAGACAGGAATCAATGGAGCAAACTGGATGCAGCTAGCTCTGGATACAGTCCAGCGGTGGGCTTTTGTGAACATGGTGATGAACGTTCAGGTTCCATAAAGAAAGTGGGCTATTCTTTGACAATCCGAGTATACAACTGACTTTTCAAAGAATAAGCTGCACCATAGAGTGAGTTAGTGAGTGATGTTATGTAACAGTGAACAAGACATGAGGATGATCATGAACAGCAAGTCTGGTGACATATGGAAAACAATAATGATGATCTACTTTAGATACTATTGTAGCATTTACTTGGAGAGACACAGTGAACTGAAAAACGTCAGCTTGGACTGCCAATGCCCTGGCCAATATTCTAACAAGGAACAGAAATTTCATACAGAAGGACTAAATTTTGTGTTTTGTTTGCAATAAAACAATATTGGTATATTACAAATAAAAAATAAAGTTTAGACCCTATCTCCACCTCGCAAGTTTCAGATGCCATCATTTGCTATGTCAACAATCAATTTCCATATATCATTCTTTACATTACCTAATTTTTTTATTATAAACTCAATTATGTTACATATCAAGATTCAAACATGTCATAAAGTACAGGACAATCTTAAGCCATTCCACCTACCAACATTATTGGCAATGCATATGTCATATAAAGATGGCTTTCTTCTGGTTTGTAGCATCATGTACAAGGTAGAAATTTACCAATGTTTCAGAGGTACTTCCTTACTCCATCAACAGAACAATCTGATTGTCCTGATGATGAAGACAGCATGTACTTCTAAAACATCATTTACCTTCTACCAGACTACACCACACTACAACCCAGAAGACAATCATCTTCATGCCTCCTGCTGTAAGAACCTGTTACATAATTGCCTCATGAAAATTCCCCATAGAATATATTATTAAACCAATCAAAGACAGCAGAATATAATCATCATACCATGAAGTGGAAGGGAACGAAGTACAGACCCATTCCCTATGGTAGAGCCTTAGATTCTGTTTCTATACTCAAAGCACTGTGAATGGTCAAAATGACTCTCACCAAAATATCTTGCAGAAGAAGTGCCTGTAAATGAGTGAAACATGGGAAACTGTTTACAAAGACAATGACTCTAGCAATAAGTTTAATTCATATTTGTATACTTTTCTGAATATCTTTGAAGCTAGTTTTCAAATTAAATATAAAAGTATAGGCAAAGTAAAGAACGACTGGATTACATAAGGAATATCCTGCAAAAGTAAAAGTAGTAAGATCTGAGGTATTCACAGCAGTGAGTTATTGCAGCCTCTATCATCTGGGCAATGATAATGGAGGCAACAAGGACTGCTGAAATGTTGGTAAACTTCTACAAGGCTATACAGTGCTACAACCCAGAAGACAGCCATCTTAAATGTACGAGAAGTCTACATATGCACAGAAGAAACAATAATGATTCAAAAACAAGATAATTTTACACTAAGTACTGCAAAATCCTGAGTAATGTTGTAAAAGAGGCTAAAAAGCAGCATTGCAGTAAAAAAAAAGTAAAGTTTCTCCCACTATACGCCGTGTAGGCGTTTGGGGTGAGTGGAGGTATAGCTCCTCTCTTCCTTGACCTCGGCACTAGATGGGGGTGAGTGGTCAGCATCACGCCCCGGCCGGCTTTACCCCCGGGACAGGACCCCGGTACCCATTGTAGAGGAGGCTGGGTGGGCCCCAGAGCCGGTCTGGACGCAGAGGCTAGAGGAAAAATACTCTGCCCCCGTCGGGGATCGAACCCCGGCCGTCCAGCCCGTAGCTAGTCACTATACTGACTGAGCTATCCCGGCTCATAGCATTGCAGTATACTTATAGCAAAATCAGACAATAAAAACAAGAAGGAACATCATAAAACAGAAGACAGGAAGAATACATTTAGCTGAACAGACATCATCTCTTTTATAAATAATGAAGAAGTAACATCAAGTGGGGAGTGAAGATGCTATTTCATTTACAAAAGATACATTTCCTGACATTAAAATTATTCCAACCACTGAAACTGAGATAAAATGTATGACACATCTCCTCAAATCATCAGGTTATGATGAAGAAACAAGTAAAATTTTGAAAACTTGCACAGGTTTAATCAGTCACCCACATTTGTAATCAATCACTATACAAATGCATTTTCCTGCACTGTCTTAAAATATCAGTTGTAAAACAACTGTATGAAAAAGGTGACAAATCTAGTACAACAAACTAGAGGCTGATTTCACTATTAACTGCTTCTCCTAAAGTATTTGAGAATGTTATGTACAATAGGTTGTCATCATATGCATACTAACAACGTACTGGACCCAGAAGGACTTGGTTTCAGGAAAGGTGTGTCCACTGAAGATGCAGCATTCAAACTAACAGACAATGTGTTAGAATCTGTTAAGCAAAAAATGCATGTTGGAAGAATATTCTGGGATTTAGTAAAAGCTTTTAACTGTGTAAATAATTAAATTTTGTTTACTAAATTACACTTTTATATCATTGAAGAAATAGCAGTAAAATGGTTCAGATTCTATAGAAAAGAAAGAAAACAAAACATTAAAATAAAATCTTGTAATGATGCTCGGAATTTTTTCTCAAACTAGAGAGCAAGCATGGAGTTCCTGAAGGGTCAATTCTAGGGCCTTTGCTTTCCATAGCTAACTAACTAACTAGATGGCTTACAGAACCTGAAGGTTCATCACTGAATTAACCAAAGTCCTCCACTGGTTCCTGTCCTAGGCCAATAAAATCCAGTTTCCTTCAACTCCTATCTCCCAAAGATCCTACCTGAGATTATCCTCCCACCTACATCTAGGTCTCCGCAGTAGTCTCTTCCTTCAGACTTTCCGACCAATACCAGGTGCACACCTCTGGCCTCATCCATGCATTCCACATGCCCCGCCCATCTCATTCTTCTTGACTTAAACACCCTGCCAATATTTAGAGAGGAGTACAAATTTTCAAGCTCATCATTATGTAGTTTTCTCCATAACCCAGCCTCTTCTCTCCTAGGTCCAAATATCCTCCTCAAACATCTGCAATCTGTGTTCCTCCCTCAGAGTGACAGATCATGTTTTGCACCCATACAAAACAACAGACAAAATTATTGTTTTGTATACTTTAATTTTCAGGTTCATAGTAATCAGATGGGAAGACAAAATATTTTGAACTGAGAAGTAGCAAGCATTTCCAGAATTTAGTCTCCTCTTAACTTCCTCATGAGTATCATTTTGATTTGTTATTGTTGTTCCCAAATATTTGAACTTTGTAACACTTTCAAAGGATTTATTAGCCACCTTCTGAAAATTCTACCTGCTGTGTCTGCTGACAATATGCAAATATGTACTTAGTGTTTTTCTGAATTTACTTCTAGCCCCACTTGTCTACTAGCCTCTAGTAAAACTCCTATGTTCCCCTTTACTGTATTTATATTGTCACCCAATAAATTAACATCATCAGCATATGCCAATAGCTGATGTGTCCCCCTCAATTGCAAACCCTCCTGCCTACCTTGGACTTTCATGATGGCATATTCTAGCACAAAGTTATTGAGCAAGGAAGACCAAGCATCTCCTTGTTTTAGACCGTTCGTGATGAAGAATAACTCAGATAAATATTTACCTATACAAATTTTGTTACAGGTTTCATTTAAGCACATTTTTATTGGACTCACTAGCTTCTTTGGTATACCAAATTCAATGATAATATTGTATAGCATTTCTTTCTTAACAGAGACATAGGCTTTTTAAATCTATATATAACTGATGTACAGTCCCACTATACTCCCATTTTTTCTCTAGTATCTGATGGATGCAAAAGATTTGGTCAATTGTTGATCTGTTACGTCTGAACGCACACTGATGATCCCTGATAATTTCATTCACATATGGAGTTAATCTTGCCAGAAGAATGTTTGATAGAATTTTGCATGAGGTTGATAGAGAAATTCCTCAGTAATTACCAGTCAGTCTTGTCCCCCTTCTTATGAATAATCCTAATCCTAATTATGGATTCCTTCCATTGTTGTGGCACCTCTTCCTAATTCAGCTAATTTGGAATTAGCTGAATAAGCTTATGGTTCTTCATATGCAACTTTTTGCCACCTGCTTTAATTAATTCTGTTTGAATTTGATCAATACCTGGAGATTTATAACTTATTAATTCTCTAATAGCTAGTTCACCCTCATGTAAACTAAGTTCTGGCACAATCACTTCAGCCGTATGTATTTTAATCTCTCTAACATCTACAGTCCCATGAACATTTAGGTATTGTTTAAAAAATATTTTTACCTAGTCAAAATTTTGATTGGATCTTCCAGAAAGTTGCCATTATAATCCGCTACCATATTAGTCTGAGGTTGATATCCTTTCTTAAAATCATTTATGCCAATGTACAGGTCTCTGATATTTTTTCTTACCGTTTGTTTCAAGCTCAATAATTTTGCCTTTCACATATTCTCTTTTCTTATTCCTAATAGTTCTACTAGCTTTACATCTCACATTACATAGATTATCCATATTCATTTTGTTCTGCAAACATTGAAATTGTGTTTGCTTACTTCAATCTATTAATTTTGAACATTCTTTATCAAACTACAGTTTATTTTCCTTTCCCAAGTAGTATCCTAGTTTTTCTTTGGCTGAAATTTTGATACATTTTCTGACATTTTCCCACTGTTGATATCCACACTTTCATCATCCTTATTTGTCTCTAACATTTTAAACCTATTTGAAAGTTCTATTTGCTATTGAGCTTTTGCCTCTCCCTCATTTAATTTTTCAAATCAAATCTTCCTGTGTAAAAATTTCGCTTAGTTGTTTGCTTTTCATAATATACATGAATAACCTTCCTCCATCAACAAATAACTTATCAAACCCATAATATTCGCTGATAACACAAGTGTCATAATTCCTAGTAAATATGTTGATGATTTTTGTACAATGTCAAACACAGTTCTTTCTCAACTGAGTAAATGGTTCACTGCTAACAATCTGGCCCTAAATCTAGATAAAACAAGTGTAATAAAATTTATAGCAAATAATACACTACAATAAGCTTTCAGTATTGGTTATAATAGAAAATACATAGAAAAATCATTAAAAACAAAATTTCTTGTTACAAATTTATAACATAAACTGAAAAAATCACAGTGATCAAATGGTTTCAAAGTTAAGTAGCACATGTTATGCAATTAGATCTATGTGCCATGCCAGAAAAACTCTTAAATCAGTTACTTTTGCCTATTTTTATCTATAATAAAGCATGGAATGATTTCTTGGGGTAATTCATCTAACAGCAAGAAGATATTCACTTTCCATAAAAAAATAGTTATAATGGGTGGTGTCAAACCTAGAAATTGAAGTACAAGTATATTTAAGATATATGAGATCTTACCTCTTCCATATGAATACATATTCTTATTACTAAACTTCACTGTGAATAACCCAAGAACATTTTTACACAAATTCTGCTGTACACATTGTTAACACAAGGATAAATAAGTTTCATACACCAATTGCTAACCTCTTATGCTTTCAGAAAAGTGCATTCTATGCTGGCATAAACATTTTCAACAGTTTACCATCCAGTCTCATGAGTTAATTTAGGGTAGCATTAAAATGGTACTTAAATACATGCTCATTTTACTCTGTTCATAAATATTTAATGTTTGAAAATTACTCTTAATGTTTTTGAAGGTTTTCTTGCATTTGTATGGTATGAACAGGCAGTATAATTTATATGTGTGGATTTGTTTGAAACACTTCATTATTTTATGTAAAGTTTCATTTATTCCACGTGAAAAGTTTATAATAGTTTAAATTGCGTTTTTATAAATGTATTGTATTTTTCATGTCTTATTCCACATCCTGGTGTCAACTGACAAACTTGAGGGTCCAAGGAATGTAATAATATGTATATCAGCTAAAGATTATATTAACAAGCATCTCACCATATATCTTGCAGAAAACTGGAGTGAAAAATACTGATGTACTATGGGCATAGTTCATAATCAATCTGTTTGGACCATGTGGTGGTGATACCTACGGACATTACATAACCTATAACATAACAGACTAATTTATCTGATGACATATGTTTCTGGCTACAGTTAACACTTTATGACACAGAATACGTAGCATAATAAACAGTCATCATGTTATGACTGAGTACGTAGATTAATGTGAGCCTGTGAAGAAAACATGTTTGCAATTCTTTATACGAAATATTAAATAGGTACCTGTTTGGTTATGAGACGCTGGCAACTCAAAATTGTCTAGCAGTAGTAATCATACCTGAACAGCTTGTTCACAAGAGATATGAAAATTCAACTAAAAATATGATTAATTACACATTGTAAATTATTTTAGATATGTATGTAATTATATTAACTATTATACACCGATTACTTACTCAATTACGAAATAACCTAACTTTAAGTTACCGGAAGTACCATGTTTCGATAGATTGAAGTTATTAGAACATACATCGACTTATGAGTCGATATATCGCAAGAGTTCACGGCGAGTGCTGCAACAGCCTATCAGTATTCCGTTTAATAAATTTTCCTGTGCAAAGTAAGGATCTACAAGATAGGATAATTATGTTCGAAAATTTATGTCCTGTCGTTTAATTTCATATGAATAAACTTTCGTCCACTTTGTGAGTCATATGCATCTTTATGGACTGGAATTCTGATTTTGAGTAAAATACAAGTATCACTGCATTCTTTAGTACGAATGTAACTAAAATTTTTTTTACTTTCCAACAATCTTCACAGGCAGCGGTAGTTACAGCCTTTCTGTATCGATGCTGACAGCGATACCGCGCACACAAACACACACGTATGTACCGGTACAGAACGTCCTCTGACGAAATTGAATGCAACTGAGATTTTCCAGATCCCGGCCGGAACTGTTTGTCTCACTGCCAAGCGCTAATAGCAACTGATGTATATGTATATATATATACTGGTGTGTGATTTTTTTATATATATATATATATATATATACACACACACACACACACACACACACACACACACTGATAGGAGATGGCATCACCTCCAATGTCCTTGTGAATGTTTAATAATTTGTACGTAAAATGTTTTATATTTTTTTGAAAGTTAAAAATTATTCATTGCCTCAGATAAATTATTCTGCAACAGGATCAGAACTATAAGCCAGTTTTACTGCACAATGTGAAAATATACAGTACTGATTGCAGTTATCCAACACGAAATCAAATTGGTAAGTAATTCGGCAGATTATTTCTGGTAGAACAGTACAAATATTTTTTTCAACTGTTACCGAAATATCCGCCTTCAGATGGAGGCAGGACTGCAGAGTGTTTTCAGGACTTTAAGGATAAAAGGGTGAGATGAAGGACGAAGTCGGAGAAGCAGAGAAATGGCTCCCTGAGATTACTCGTCCTAGGAAGTTGCAGTGTATGGCTGCATAAATTATTTTAGTGCTAAAACCTCCAATAGTATGTAGTGGAAGCTCTCGCCATTTGCCTGGTAAATTTATATGATTCCAAAAGATCAAAATGCGTTCTAATAGCACTAGCAGTCAACGTTTCCGACACTTACGGATATAAAGTTCAAAATACACTTAGATTACTGTTGCATTAACGTGATCCAAGGTCACTGTTACGTAACAGCGTGTTCCAATAAAGCCCTTAGTTCTAACTATTGCGCAACGCTGCATTCAACTGTTGTTGTAGAGAAACAACCCTGGTCATTGAAGCTGTTTATTTCTTACGAAGCCAGCTGCAGACAGACGAACATCGGCCCATAAAGCGTACTTCGCTCACGCTAGAACTTGATAATACCTAAAAACGAGTACAAATAAATGATTTTATTCTTATCACATATAATTGATTCGAGCAACTGTCGACTAAGTGCAACATATTTCGTTTATGTTTAGAATTTAGAAGGTTCTGCATTAATCCTACCACGCAACAGACCGAGATTTATCCCAATAACACTTTGGAGTATCCTTCGTTGCTTGATCTTTTGGAATACAGATTACGCGTCAATGTTTTTGATTGCAAGTGTGTAGAAAGGAACGTATATTAATTATATGATTGTCATGGCAGATTGTAAACAGATCGGACTTCATTCGGGCTAAAATAAAAGGAAGTCACGCTGAGATGGGTTACGGGTAAAATATTTGAAAATAAAACTTTGGGCTCCGGATGGATAAAATTACAGAATTCAGGCCTGTGGAGTCAAGAATGGGATCCAGAATTTGTACTGAAATCATGTAGAACACAAATGTGTGAATATGGCTTGATATGTACTGCCGAAGAGCGTGTCTTTCTGCATCGCATGAATCGTGATTGAAATGTGGTTCCGTTAGGTGACTGAAAATGTCGACGTACATTTCCCGGATCAGAACATCAGGACTACTTGGTCACTTCTGGATAAAAACCTACTTAAAAATACCGTGTAGGTCCTGAAGGAAACTGGACGAAACAAGGAAAAGGTTACAATACACACAGAATATATCAGTGAGACGCGTTGCACAGCAAACCAGCATATCGAAATCGTGTGCAGTTAAATCGACGGAGCTGCTTAAGAACTTCGGCCATTCGAGGCCATTGTAGTTCACGATATCCAACCACGTGACCCGACTAGGAGGATTTATTTCAGCATCTGGTTTCTACAATTACTTCGTGATGGAGAAGTTATAATTTGTTTGCTCGGACATAAGCTGTGAGTTGCGCGTGAGGGAGGGTAGGGACGGTGTGTGCTGGCGGTAGTGGAACACGTAGGGGGACAGCTTTCTCTGTACTACTGAACACAAAAACATTTATGCAGATTGATTTGCCTCCAGTGGCTGATGAACATTTTACAAAGCTTCTATTCCACTTAAATCCCCATCATCTTCTTCTGAAACTTCTTCCTCCCTCAATTTTGAATGTTTTTAATTGTGGCTTACGCAGTTTAATTAGAGAATACAATTCGGGTTTACACATTCGGTAACTGAAAGGGATCCCACGATCTGAAAGCCAGTCGATCATAGCACATTTTCGGGATGAAGAAGTTGGAGCCGGTCTGAATTGTACATTATGGTAAGCTGAATTGTCCACTACCATTACAGAATTTGTCAGAAGCTTTGGAATTAACTTCGTTTTGAGCCACCTTTCATAGTTATCAAAATTCATTTCGTGATGGCAATCTGCATATATCTTTTCCAATTTTAACATTAACAAAGCATTTCGAATTAAGCCATTTTCATTGCCAGCGTGTACGATGATGACTCGCTGTCCTTTGGAGACGGGTGCAAGTAGACCTGCATTTGTACCATCACCCCAGGCATGTCCTTTTGTGTGTGAGGAGTGAATGTACGTTTCGTCCGTGTAGATGATAGGTCGCCCCTCATTTCTGTAACGACTTATATTTCTCAAATACGAGTCTTACTGCACGAATATCATCATTTTCGATGAGCACTTTCCGATTTCTTTCGCCTGAAGCCTAAATCTCTAATTATTATTTTCCAAACAGCCCACTTCCCGCCACTGAAGTTAATCCTTTTCTTGAGTACTGCTAACAACGATTTTAGAGTGTAGTGTGAAATTCGTTAATCCTTCTTCGAATTACACACTTGATAAAATCATCTACATCAGTTTAAAATTCCCTTCTTGGTCGTTTATTTTTTGTGAGGTGAGCTGAATTCTTTCCCCAATCGTTTATTATGTTCATGCTCTTTTAAAATGCTTTTCAGAGTACTTAAGGACACAATAGTAGTTTCAGAAAAACGATTTTGTATTTGATTAACGTTAATCACACTGCCGCTGTCTTTATAAAACTGTAAACACTTATCACCATTTCTCTAGTTTGGCTGTGTATTACTCTACGTCCCCCTATTTTCTTTACACCTCTGCTATCGCCTTGCATTCTGTTCGTGCTAAGTATAAACAACAGCAGTGAAAATGATAGGACTAATTATAAATGGGCCGATGTTATTGAAATGGAACTCAACACACGAAGTGAACTCGTTCACAGCTCGCTGGCAACTGAACTCCGCTTACACCTCACTCGCTGTTCTTGCTGCAAATACACTGCACATACGAGGTGCGATCGGAAAGTTTCAAGACTGCGCGTATAAAAACCCGTACATTTATCTCAGGTATTAAATTCATCCATCACCCTCGAAGTAGATCCCCTGGGAGTGAACACAACGATCCCAGCGCCGCTGCCAAGCCTGGAAGCATCCCTGGAAATCTTTCTTTGTCAGCCTGTCAAGCACCATCTGCGATTCTGCCTGAATCTCTTCTATCGTCTCAAATCTCCTCCCCTTTAGCTGAATTTTCATCTTTGGGAAGAGGAAGAAGTCACACAGCGAATAAGGAGGGTGCGGGATGA